TTTATTTTGCTGTTTTTTCTGTACTCCTTTAATAGCGCCAGACAACACCTCCAGAGGAATGACGCCAATTTTGAATCACCCTGTATATAACTTGTTACACACCTGACACCCTGTTATTTGGAATCGATCAACTTTCAGATAAGCCAAATTTGCCTGCATTTTTCCCTAAACAATTTGTCAGTGAATTTGGGCACACCCAGTATGCCAGTCTCAACATTTACAGTTTGCTACTTTCTCACCTTAATAAATGTGTACTTTTAGCTAGAGTAATACATTGGAAAAACATTTTTGGAAGTCATTTGACTCTAACTATGCTGAAAAATGTAGAAAAGGCGCAAACATTCTTGATTTTTGCCAGTTTGGCAATCCTGAGCCTGAAAATTTATGTTTTCACTCAACTGTGTTCGTTCTTTCCTTAAGAAGTTCAAATCTTGCAAATCACAGCCAGGAGCTAAACCGAATGTTCACCATCTTTAGACAACACGCTGACAGTTTCAGGAAATTCCCATAAATTGGACTTGGACAACACTGTGTTGAGTTGCGCTTGTGAGTTTTTGCGGTTCTGTGAGTTAATGAAACATAACTCGCATGTTAATGAGTTAAAACTGCAGAGCGGAACTGCAAAGAGCGGAAAAAATGCAGAGAAAAATAAAAATATATGCGCATTTATATGCACTGTATTTAAAAAAAATATGCAACCATTCCAAAAATATGAATTTAAGTAACAAAGCAACGTGTGTCTACAAACTATTTTATTAAGGTAAAAGTTCATAACAGTAATAATAAAAGTCCCACATATGTTTAAAAACAGAAAAATTCCGCTCAAAATCTACGGAAGTTGGAGGTGCATATAGAAGTTTGGAAATAACGGTTATTGGTAAATCTGGCATGTTTATTTGAGTGTTAAAATTACCATCAAAAGTGTCCATACATTTTTAACGAGTTGAAACAGTTAGGTTACCGTTTAAGCTACATTTCGGATTTTTTGAGGGTTGGTAAACAATTTTTGGCAAAAATGCGTTTTTTTTAAACAGCGTTAATAAATGCAAAATTAATTTTTCCCGCTCTTTAGTTATAACACACGCACTGCACGAACTCCTGAAAATTCGCTGAATTACCCAAGCTAAAGCAGTGTCGTGCGCGAAATGCACAACTTCGACAGCCCGAAGTGTATAATGTGTTTGTTGTACAAAGCCGTTCGGACACTGGTTTTTGGAAAAACCTGTCAAGGGACCAGTTAATAGTGTTTTTGGGTTCAAACCAGTGTCGTGTTCTAAGTGTTCGGCACAAGATCCACATTAGACACATTTGGATGTCTCTGATTGACTTGGCATCGTTCCATCGCCAGCAGATTCGCTGAAATTGATTGGGCCAATTTCATGCCTTGCGCCAATTTTATTCGTAATGGTGGTGCGAATGCGAAACTTTCATTCGCAAACTCTCCACTTGGTTTAATCTGCCCACTCCTAGTGGGTACCTGAAAATTAGGGTAAAGCAGTTCCAGAAGACGTAAAAATCCTTCGCAAAAAAGAAACAAGTTGAAATTCCCCGTCTTTAGACGACACTAGGACATACTATAATCACGCGGAAATATTCATAAAAATCCCACCAATTTCCGATTTTTAGCAGTTTTTGTACATCTAGGATTCTAAATTAATGCTTTCAGTCAACTAGGTCTTTTCCTTCAAAAATTGAGATCTTGCAATCTAATCCAAGAAGCAACTAGAAATTCTCCCAGCCTTTAGAAAATACTCTCTAAGGAGATAATTGATCGCTTCTAGCAACTGCGTTCTCGCTTTTAAAGATCTCCTAAGCTAAGTGAAGGAGCAGCGTCAGAAATTTTGGCAGTTTTTAGAAAACACTCGGAGCTAAGTCCTAAAAGATTTCATAAAAATTGCACAAAACTCGGATTGGTGCCGGTTTAGAAAATCCGCGTTTCTAAATTGATGTTTTCAGTCAACTGCATTCTCGCTTAAAAAAAAATTGATCTTCCAAGTTGAAGCAAGCAGAAGTTGTCCCAGTCTTTCGAGAGTAATAGGAACTGAGAACGGATAAAGTTTCGAAAGAATCGTACAACATTTTGATTGTTGCCAATTTGGTAAACCTGTGTTATAAATTCTGGTCTGGTAAATTAAAAATTGATGATTTGTGTGTTTTCTTTTGAAAAAGGACAGACGTTCTAAGCTTAGTTAAGGAGCAACTAGAAATGTTCACAGTCTTTTGAAAACAGTTAACTACGTTTGCGGATTAAAAAATGCATTTCTTCTAAACTAAACCAAAGAGCAACTAGAAATCTTGGCATTCTTTGGAAAACACAAAACCCTGATTTATGCCAATTTGATACATTTCAATTTCAAAATTGATGTTTTCAGGCAAACTGCGTACTCGCTTTAAAAAAATTAGGTCATCCATGCTAAACCAAGAAGCAAGCAGCAGTTTTCCCAGTCTTTAGAGAATAATCGATCCTAATAATGGAAAAGTTTCGCAAAAATCTTACAAAATTCTCATTTGTGCGGGTTTAGTAAATCTGGGTTTCAAAACTGATGTTTTCAGGGAAAAAGGTTGGGCCTTAAAAAATGGATATGTGTCCTGCTGAACCAAGAAGCCACTTGACAGTTTCGCTGGTCTTTAGACATACTTGGCTCTAAAGGTCAGGAAAGTCTCATAAGCATCGCACCAAAGCTTGATTTTTTCAAGTTAGGTTAATCAAAGGACATAAGTTGCTCGTTTCAGTGAACTGAGCTCCCAATTTGTCCGAAACTAAAACGAGATGCAATTTGAATTTGATCTCATTTTCAGAAGACAATTGACTCTAAACATGCCAAAAGTTTCATAAAAATCGTACAATGTTCAAAATGACCATCAATTTGAACACTGCACACATTTGCACATGCAGTGATTTCTATATCCAAAGTGCCAAATTCCCGAAAGACAATCGAAATTTTGTCTAGCGAACAAGTGCTTTTAATGATTGTGTAATTTCTAACCAATATGGTATTTTATGGCCATTTTCATAAATAATATTATGGAAAATTTAGCTTGATTAACTACTTAAATAATAAATCATTTTATTTACACAGAACTGATGATTGCATGGCAGTGGCATTATAAAATCCACACATTCAAGAGTACGTTAGCATTGTTATCGAAAGATGTGTTTCATTATTTGAATATAGCCGTTAACCGTCAGTTTGTAGGGCCCTTTTGTGCGACCGAATACACCTGTCGTTCTGTAACGAACAACGGTTGCATCCGGTTGCAATCTGACTTGCTGTGCTCCACACGAACTGTGCTTTTATTTTGATAGGCCACTTATTTCTACAAATTTCAGTTAATTATCTTACTGCACTAACTACTGGTTACCGGCATAAAACTTGTTATTTTCGCATGTGTACAGATAATCATTTTCGTGCGTATTTGTACAAACTGTTATTTTCGGCGATGTGTGTTCTTAATGATGATATTTGCGCTGCGCTCTTTTTAATAGCTTTGCTTTCGAATGCAGAACGTAATATGTTCTCAGATTTCTTATCCTAATTACATGTTCTACATTAGGTTTCCAACTTCTGTATAAGAAAAAAGGCAAAGAAATACAAGAAAGAGCCAGTCAGGGTAGTTATGTGATTCATCGCCAACCACATTAGACATCCCTATTTATATACCATTATCTACTAAGCTATTGAGGCGCATAATTCTCAAACGTTAGCAAATGTGACTCATCCGAACCAAATTAGACTTCTACTTAAAATACCAATGTTTATTAGACAACATTAATTAACAATTAAGCTGCATATAAATAAGACTCCAACCAAAGGGTCCACATTCTGCTTTTGTACTTTGTATAGGCAAGATCTCATTAGTCTTTAATTATTTTAAATATTAAACTATACATCTATTCGAAATAAAAGGTTTTTGAAAGACTTTTCGAAGAACGTATCATTTGATTAATTGGGTGGTCCAATTGTTGTTTTTTAAACCGTTAAAGTTGCTAGTTCGGTTAAATTAGCCAAAAATTGTACAATTTTTATGACGATTTCACATTTTGAGACACTGTAAAATATTGGAAGCCAATTTAAGTAATGCCGAAGCGATTGTTGCAAATACAATAGATCAAAAACTAAGGTAAGCCTGGGTAACACTGTGTTGAGTTGCGCTTTTGAGTTGATACCACTCGGTGAGTTGGTGAGTTATAACTCATCGCACCTCAATGCACCGCACCTCGAATTGCCATTGTAGCGGAATAATTCTTGAAATCAGAACTTTTAAAGGACATTTTTCTTAGTTAACATTTTCTTGGTTTCTATCATCGCTTGCAAACTGAGCCACCAGCTAATTAGCTTGTCTCATTATTCACAGTTTTTTGTTTAGTCAATATTTTTGGTAAAACAAAATTAATTCGGATATTAATTTTAGTTTTGGCGATGTGCATTAATCAATGCAGCTGAATGAAATTCAGGCAAATATAAAGGGCTCTAAATTTTAAATTAAATCCATGAAAGATCGGTGCTTGGAGCGTTTTTCGTTTAGTTTGGGTTAGTTTGGGTTAGGCTTTCGATATGTTGGAACGTGCAATTTGCCTTTGAATTTTAATGCGAACAGGCACTTTCTACAAAAATTTCAACAATAAACAAACTGATATCGAACTGCGAAGTAAAGCATAAATCATCGAAAAAAAAAAAGCGAACAAGTAAATGATTATGCTATTTATGATTATGGGTGTTCGGATAATGCGTTAGGAAATTTTTAGGAGCATTCTACATGTTAAAATAATGGTAGTAAATCATATAATAAAAATTCGAAGATTGAATGTTTTCCGAGTTACAGCTCATCAAACCTCATTTTTTTTTAACCAGTTCTATTTAAACAGTTCAGTTTCCCGAGAAGCAACTGAAGTTTAACGGATTTTTCATGTTTATCTTCTTTGCTTTGCTGATTTCAAATAAGTTTAGCGTTGGACAGATTTCCTGATGTACTAAACACATTTTCTTCTTCTTTTCCAGGTGGCACTACGCAGCTTTCGGTAAGTTTATCATGACTTTGCCACTGGTAGCCGTGAACATATGGAACTTTTAATCCCATATTCATCTGATAGAGTGTTTGATGTCCATTGAGCTATTGGCTAAACTTTGGAAATATTTTGGGAAAGTTCGTATGTTTAGATCAAGCTCATCTGAAGCTTTTCGCTAAAGAACCGCTTCAGATACGAAATTTTGGATTGTAGCATTAACACAAGAAGCATGAGCTGATAGTGCTGATTTCGTTCCCATTAAACCATTGATTCCTTCACAAGATATTTTTGTACTTTGGGAATATTTTGAGCGGCTTTCTATTTTTACATCAAGCGCAGCTGAAGCTTGACTCCAAAGAACCGTTTCAAAGAAGGGCATCACATTAGTTATGCGTAACATTTTACCAAATAGGTGTCTGCAGCGTAACTGCACCAGTGAGTCAATGTGCTGGTGCGTTGGGTTGGCGCACCAAGCCATTTCGGCATCATTTTTTTTTTCGGTGTGGTTTGGGAAATGCTCTTTTATGCACTCCCAGAGCTGGTGGTCTGTCGCTCTGGTATGTGTGGGACTCCAGCTAAGCTGTTTACCCACTAAAACCCTTTCCTCACCGCCGAGGTGGTGTTTGGCCTCGCACCGCGGTCATTTCTGTCCTATTGTGCACTCGTACTTTTACTCCCTCATTATCCCTGTATATTCAATGAATTCCAGAAGAGTCTTGAGGGGAGTTCGCATGATCAGGTCTGGTGGAATTCCATCCCCTCCCAGGAGTCTTAACATGCAGTCTAACATGCAGAGTAGTTTCGTCCTCTAATTCGCAACCCCTGCAGGTCGGTTGATCGCTCAGTCCCATCCTGAAGAGGTGTTTTTTGCAGGGGGCGTGTCCTGTTTTCGGCATCATTGCGCCAACTACTGAAAATTAACTGAGTTACTCATGCCTAAACTAAGGGTTGTTGCAAAAAAATTCTGTTGTTTTAGAAGTTTTTAAATCTCCCGCATTACGAGATTTTTTTACGAGTCAGTTTTTCCCCTTTTTCTTAAATGAATAAATAATGTAGATACCAAATATTTACATTTGCCTAAGTTGTGGAAAATTTATTACCAACGTTTATTGTCTAAAGCAAATTGCACTTTCACCATTATTTTTAACATTAATAATTCAATCTGACTGGTAAATTATTCATAAACCAGTTGACGGATGTGTCCCGGTACTCGAAACGGACACGTCTTAATTATTCCCTTTCGCGTTCGTCATAATGCAATGGTTACATTGTTAAGGCTATAGGCTCACCCGTAATAGCATAGGAATTCCCGTGCATTTTTGGCAGTGAATTACAGAAAAACTATTTCTTGTATTTGATTCAAACTTGAAAAATTAGATAGATGCTATCCTCTTGCATGTCAGAAAGTCGTTTTGAATTCAGAAAACTTTATCTGAGTATGCTTAAACTGAGCAACAATAGTTCAGAAATGTAAGCTTTTTTTCAAATTTCGTTTATACATGGTTGCAATTGTTTTTTCACATATAAATTGACTTTCTGACAACCTCGAAATCTTCTAGTTTAGAATGCTTCAAGTTTTTTTTTAGTTTGGATAAAAGATGCGACCAGGATTCCATGCCAAAATAGGCCATTTTCAGGGACATTTTTTCGTCAAATTCTAGCTCGATTTTAATGCTGTCTCTCTCATTTGTCGAACTGTTTACGCCGGGATTGCACCCGTGAACGGATTTTTTAGGACCGTAGTAGGAATTATGTTTTAAATCAAACTTGTACCTGAAACATTCATTTTTTATTTGGGTACAGGTATTGGTCAGGGAATATAAAATCCCGACAAAAGTTATTAAATGCAGCAGAACGAATCGCCTATTATCATCAGTGTGGCTCGCTGATTATTTATTATTTTATAGTTCTTACTCATTAAGAGACCCCAAACAGAACGAGAATTGCTCCGAAAAACTGGAATTGCAACTAACATAAGAATACACTTTAGTTATAATGAAGATTTTAGTAATAATTTATAATATTTTAGGTATTTATAAATCTTTCTGATTTAAATTTTTGTTTTTAGCTTTTCTTCTATGATCTACTTCCTTTTCCACTAGGTATACCAGCTTCTATCATTGACTGCTAAGCCATTGTTCTGTGTTCCTTTGAATAAGATCGGTGTGAATGTCTTAATATCGCAATGAAAATGGGATAATATCCATAATGCTGAGCAAGCTATTATTTCTGTTCTATTGCCAACTCACAATTTTAGTCATTCATTAGGTTTCTACATTAACAAACCCTAAATTAAGTTGTTTGTAACATCGGAAAAACGCTCAGATAGATTTTAATGAAACTTGCTGTGCATTTGTTATCCACCGTAACATCTATGCTATTTTTTTTATGTCAGAGCCATATTTTCCTGAAAACTCGCGTCTGTTTGTCGTAAGATTTCTGATTGGGACGACAATACATTTGCAATGCAATTCGGACGAAAGCGATTTGAAAATCCAACACGGAGCCTAAGACTTTGACCATGTTGGTTAGTTGAAAGTTACACAACGCTTTACATTTAATTGATTATAGTTAATAGTACAGTCCACGACAAACAAAATTAGACAATTAAATAGTTGTTGTGTAAATCTGACTTTCTTCCTTGGTCTGCCTTTACGTAAATGACATAATACTGACAAATAAATTTTCCTCTTATCACAATGCCACGTTCAAAATTACTTAAAAAACCTGAAATTTAGATTATTCGGGGAAGGATAGTCAACAAAAACAGTAGCTGAGATATTTGGAAAGCCGAAAGCACGATTTATTAAATTGTAAAGAAATTACTTAGATTGTCAAATTTAAACAAGTTTGTGAAATTTGCATATTTGGCGTATTTCGCAAAGCCTGATTTATCAAAATCGGAAAAAATTGCTACTGTCGATCGTAGTTGGGTCGTCTACTTTTATGGGTCGTCAACTGTACATTACATCGTACAGCTGGCGAGTTTTTCAAATACTTTTGAAAGTGTCATTTTGATAATAGGAAAATTTATTTGTCAGTATTATGTCATTTACGCAAAGTTAGATCAAGTTAGAAAGTCATTTTTACACAACAACTTTTTAATTGTCTACTTTTATGTGTCGCCGGCGTTTGCAGTTAATGTCTTAAATTGTTAATAGAAGAGTAACGGACATTTTTTTTGTAAAAGCTATGAATGCAATATTTTACAGAGTCCAAGGAAAAATATTTAAAAAGAATTAGTGCACCAACTAAAAAAATCAGTTGATTCGAACTACCAAATAAAACGTTCTGGAAGTTTTGTACCACGACTCAAGAATTCCTCACTTGTGCAAAGTCGATGAACTCGGTTGCTTCATCAAAACATGAGTTGTATACAGGGTGTCCCACCGGGAACCACCGAGTTCGATATCTGGCAAACTGTAATTAGGAGAAATTGAAAATTGGACAGTGTGCTAAGGTCATTGGGGGCAAGCGGTCTAATATATTTTCAAAATGGCCACACTTCCGGTTATACCGGAAGTAGGTATCAACTTGCTTATTTTAAATGGAACGCCCTATATATTATTACATTTTTTTAACTCTACTCCAAATTCTAAATATATTTCATATACAATATCTCGTAGCCAAGTCTAACCGTTTTTGACAAATTTGGAATTTTATTTAAAATTTACCGTTGCAGCCACTCGAATAATTATTAATTTTTCCTATAAGGGAATTTCTCATACTTTATTTGAGTCGCATTTATTGTTGAAAAGGATTTACTTTAATGAGATTTCGAAAACATTTTGAAAACTATTAATACCATGTTAATATGTTAAAAAAATAAGTTTCAAAATACAGTTGAGAAAACCGCAAATACAAAAGACTCTTGAGTATTGAGATAGTTACATTAAATATCGAGAATTGCTAAGTTTCTCATAAACCAGGTGCTTTGGTGGCCAAGTGCTTGAAGCTTCACAGTCCCACCCAGCGGAGTGTGACACCCTAAAACCGAAAAAATCCAAACACCTGCAAGTTGTTGTGCAATAAACACCATATTGAAAAGTCGGTGCGGTCATTTGGTTCACATGATAATTGCAACTTAAGTGACGATGTGTTTTAATTATTTTAAAACGAATTTTAAAAGCTCTTTATCCAAGTGCTAAAGTTTGTAATTAAGGCCCAAACATTGCAATATTTATTGATGGCGATGATCTTTTAGCCAACACTTTTTATGATCCTGTTCAAGACTTAACTCTTTGAGGACATAACGGAATGCAGGACAATAAAGAAGAAAATCCCTACAAAGCATCTGACGTCACTTTACGCCACTAAACATCCAATGTAAGCGTTCATATTCCATTTAGTGAAAGGATTTTTATTTGAAGTAAATGTTCCCGCTACTGGCCAAACAAACTCTACCGGCTTATCATTATTAAAAAGGCTGCGTCATGTGTTCATACTAGTGAAAGGTACAGATGGTTTATGGGACCATCAATAGAATTTGACATGTTAAATGGTCACTACTGTAACCGCAGATTTTGCAAAGTTTTACATGAGTTGGAGTGTGGTTTATTTGATTTATGAGTCACATAATTAGAGAATTGGCAAATAAAAATTGCAATGACTGCCAAATGGCCAATTACACGTGCGGGTATAAAGGTAACTTATGTAACGTAATGTTTTTAAACAAGTGATAAAATCTTGTTAAAATGTTCTTGCGTAAACGGTGGAGGAGCGGCCGATATAAAATTAACTCGGTCATGCCCAGGCGACCAAAAACGTAGCTTAAACGTTAAATAAACGTCATAAAACACACCAGCCATAAAACACAGCATGTAATTTATTTCGGAAACATTTACTTTTCTTTCAAAAGTTTCTTACAAAAATCGTGGTTAATTAATAGCAGATTTAAGGGCGAACCTCGATTTTCACGTCCGTCAATAGCCTCCTGACCGAATCAAAACCCTACCCCAGGTCGCACGTTATTTTCATGTGATGATTTTCTGATTTCTCCTTAAAGTCGTCAT